GTCAGACACTTGAGTACAAAATAGCTTCCCAAGAGAGGAAAGCAGGTTCCCAGAAGAGGCTAATTCAGGAAAGCAGCTTCCCAGAAGAGGCGAATTCAGGGCTCAAGGATATCTAGTCGCATAGTGTGTTCTGCTAAAACATTTTAGCATTTAGTTTTGTTTCTTCCTTTCCAACGAATGCCCTCTTTATGGTAACGATTTAAGGACACGTTTATTATTTGGCGGATAGATTGCAAGTTTTGGTGTGCTTTTTTATTTATTAGAGGGAGGCTAGGAAATCAGCCGAATAAACACAAGTACACAGCCAGAGGCTAGTTTGCCAAACAGAAATGGAACCGCTACAGTAATCTCACATTGCAGACAGATAGCCAAAATAGCAGCAACAGAAACATCCACCTCTGAGATTCGCATAAAAACTAATAGAGATAAACTGGCCAGATTACTTGCCTCGGGAAACTTATTCCCATCACGTCTTCACGAAGTAACCCATCGAAATTTGCTGGTGGATCGTCCAACAACCAGCCCAATCAAGTGGACCCTTAAACCATTTTTCAATAAAGATGGAACAACCCGAAACATGATTAAAAGCATCACTAGTGAAGAATGTGGCTAAAATTGAATTAGGAACTTATAGTCATTTCTCGTGGTGACTAAAATGAAAGAGGTCACATATCGTCCATTCAAATAATATTTGTCTGAGCTCAACCAAACTTGAGTTGCTCCCCCTATAAATGTAATCACCCTCTTGTTTCTTCATATGTTCTTCAGACAACTTATCAACTGTGCTAAACATGAAACTATCAAGATTGACTTCCTTGTTCATCGGATCCATTCTGACCTGGAAAAAGAAAACCACCAAACAAGCTCCTCAACAGATCATGTCAAAGACTACTGAAAGAATGGACCAAAAACACACATGATCCTGGAAAGGGACATCTTAAGCACCTAATTCCGATACACATTAACTCGGTTTATCATCAATGCATAAAACCGTCACCACAATTCGTCAAAACCCTTACCTTGTCAAAGTTAACCACGAAGATAGAAGCAGGACTGGGCCTGTCGGGGTCTCTGTTTAGTTCGAACCCCACGGTTTCAGTGTAAAAAAATGTAGGAATAGAATTTTTGAAATACAGACTCCACAGCTGTAGCCTCCGCTTCAAACAACGAGACCTCTCTTCCCAAATCAGTCTACAATACACCTCATCCATATCAGAGATCCATCCAAAATCACAGCATTGTAGTTCGAAAATCAATTTCGGCAATTTCAATTCAAAATCCCTTTCTTACCTCCCTAGCAGATCCTGAAGGAACCATGGCCTCTTTCATTGCCTTCTCCAGTGAAATCATCTCCGCCTGCCCAGCTGTTTGCACAAGTGAATTACTCATACAAGCAACAATTAGTTTTCATTCAAAGGGATGGGGGTGCTTATGCTTGCACAGCTTGACGCCGAGATTACCTGCGATATTCGGCCAGTTTAGGGTTCAAACAATCGATTGGGAGGAATCATAGGACAGGTGGGAAATATAACAGTCGAGAACGAGAAAACGAAGAAGAATAAGAGGGGGAAACAGAGTGGTTCAATTATCGCTGCCATTTTCTGAGGCGGCTGGGATGATTTAGAGGAGTAGGGAGGAAGAGCAGGGTTATTCCCAATTCGAACAGAAAAATGGAGAAGAGAGAAGGTCCAAGGTCGGGATTTGGAGGAGAGGGGTAGGGCTGCGGGTTGGGCAAGGTAGGTGTCCTTTCTCTTAGGGTGGTTGGATTTTGGGTCAATTCAATAACTAAACAGAACCAACCCGATTTGGTTTACAATGGACTAAAATGAAAGAAAAACTAATTCTATGAGTTGATCTGTAATTTTATTTAATATAAATTCCAAAAAAATAAATCATTTAATAAAATTTAATCTCAGCCGTCGAGATCACACGTACGGTTAAGATCACCCAAGGTACGCCATACCCCGGAATTTACCCGGGGTACGATAGAAGCCACCATATATATATCAATTAAGAACTCTATTGTTCACTAATGCATGCAATTTCAGTTTCCAAACATATTCTACTCAAATACTTTTATATAACAATGAATGACTCCCTAAATTTCGCTTAATTTTCAATGAAAGATGAGATGTTGTTAATTGATTTATGAGCTCAATATACCTCCATACCACTATATCTACAATCATTGTGATCTTTAGTTCTTCACTCACCTCTGCCAATGTTTACAGGTTCATATTTTGCTATGAAATTTAGATAAAGAAACTTTAAATCACACACATTTAAAAGTAGAAGATGAAAACTATGTAAATAAGTGATTGCAAATTTACTATTTTGAAACGCAAAACTGAAGGAATTTAGATCATCTCATTTCGCAGTAAATTAAAAAGTCTTATGGGAAAGTGATACCTTAGCGTTGGATGCGATGGTGAATGAACAACTAATGCCAAATGTGGCCTAAAAATTCCCTCCACTATGAATTGCAAAAAAACATCCTTCCCAAACCCAAATTATTACCAGTCAAATCATATTTAGTAATATCACTTGAAGGTCATACCAATAAACGACTATTTAGTTTGAGTCTAAATTAGACCATTGCATTGGCTACCAAAAAAGAAAATGAATATAAACTCTAATGTAATTTTTGCAATGTTTTTTTTTTGTATAACAAACATAAATATGGAAACACCGATAATGAAGGTGTGAATTGGTTTAATGCGAATAGCTAGATGGTCGATATTTCGTGATGGGTATAATTATATGGACTATAATAGATTCAAATAAATGTTTTCAGCTCTAGCTATCTCCCCCATTCCATAATTAGTAAATTAATCCGGCCAACGGGGCGAGTCAAAGTTAGTTATTATTATTTTTGGAAAAATACACTCCCGTAGCCACAACTTTCCACTTTGTGCCAACAATAGCCAAATTTTGAAAAATTACAAAAAAAATAGCCAATCTGTCTAATACTTTAACGGACGAACTTGAATTGCTGACTAGGCTAACAGTTCGCGCTGATGTGGCACGTCTCCAACACTATTGCTGCCAGATGGAATTGATGATTTCTAATTATTTTTTATTTAAAAAATATAAAAACGAAAAGGCCCCTCCCTTTTCGTCGATCTCTAACCCTACCAACTTCACTTTCAGAAGAGGAAACGATTTGGTGCGGCCTTCGCCCCCTGCTGCCTGTCGCGACTCGTCTGCTGGGCGTCTTTTCCACTTCGTCTCATCTGGGCGTCTTTGTTCCCAAATCTAACATGCATCTTGACGGCGGATAAAACCAACGCCTCCGACCCAAATTCTCTTTTATACGCCTGAAGAACGAGTGGGTGAGGGGAGAGACTTCGACAACGGCGAATCCCTACTAGCAGCTGTGAAGAAGACGATTGGAGGAAAACCCTAGCTCAGATTCAGCAGCTCGAGAAGAAGGGAAACTCGATTATTGTCTGACTGGTTCGTTCTCACCCTCTCATATGGTATGTTTCTTTTGTTGGATTGGTGTAGCATACAATTCTTAACCTCGAGATGTTTATGTTTTATAGGGCTGAGTTTGGTGAGAAAGAGACACTGCAATTACTTCCAGGGACCACAACTTCTGTTTGTCATGAGATTGCCCTTAAATCGTGAGGTAAAGAACCGAAACTTGTGGATGAAATGGTCAATTCACTGCAAGTAGAAGTCGTGAACTGAATCACATTGTTTTTATTGTTGTCTGTTTGTGCTTTGTGTATTGTTTATTATTTGTTGTTTAATTAGTAGATAATGACTTAGTTGACCCATTTGTGTACAGATGTCAGATTCATGGGAAGAGTTGATTGGGGAGAATGACCCAGACAAGGCTGTTGATGAAGAAGATTACCTATCACCACAAGATGATGCTGATGCATCTGTTGCACGAGATATCTACCACGTGTATGATTCTGATGATGCAGTTACCTCTGATGATGAATACTTGGAGGCAAGGGCCAACTTAAGAGCATATGGAGAGTCAAGAAAAAGGAAAGTTAAGGCCAGGCAACTTGCTAATGGTGAGGAGGTGGAGCAGTTAGATGATTTGGAGGAATTGTCTTCTGAAAGTGAAGAGGAAGGAGGCGATGAGGCAGCCAATGAAGGGAATGTGAATGAAGGAAATGTAAATGAGGATGAAGAAGGGATTGATGCAGGGAATGATGCAACAAATCCCTCCTTTTCCAACCTGCATCCATCTCGGTCTGAACAAGACATACTAGAGGGTTCGAATCATTCAAGTTATAGGTTGTCCGAGAATTCTGATCATGTGCGTCCCAACTTGTCCGAGGAGAACGGTGGTGAACCTTATGATGATGCTCCATATTATGACCGTAAGTGTGCCACAAATCCCTACAATTCGTGGTGAAACAGAAGTTTGAGAGTTCGTAGCAGTTCAAGGATGTCGTAATCGAGCATTCTATTGCAGCCGGTGAAAGTATTACGTGGTTGAAGAACAATCCGACAAGGAGGGAGGTCAAGTGCAAGGCACCCAACTGCAAGTGGGGGCTGTATGTCAGCTGGTTCAGGAAGGATCGAAGTTTCATGGTGAGGAAATTTGGGGAACCACACTCGTGTTCAAGGCAGCTTTGAGTTAACCAATTAACTTCTAAGTGGATAGCAAAAGATATGCTGGAGCGATTCAGGATGAATCCTTAATGGGAACGGACCAGATCGTTGCTGAGGTAAAGTTAAAACACAACATGGAGGTTAAGAGGAGAACCTGTTACAGGGCAAAGGAGGAGGCTATAGGGCTCTTGAGTGGTTCTTTGGTCGAAGAGTATAAGAAGTTGAGGAGCTAGGTCACTGAGTTAAAGAAACGTGATGAAATGGGTTGTTTCCATTTAGAAGTCGAGCCTCATCCAAGTAGTGACAAGTGTTATTTTCAGCGATTTTATGTCGGTTTTTCTGGATTGAGGAAGGTTTTTCTGGAGGGCTATCGATCAATGTTTGGTTTGGATGGTCGTTTTCTGAAGGGGGAGGTTAAGGCCATGCTCCTCACAGCTGTGGGTAAAGATGGGAATAATCAGATGTTTCCGATTGCTTGGGTCGTGGTTGAGGGGGAGAACCGCGATTCTTGGTCATGGTTTGTGCAAACTCTAGCTCAAGATATTTATATTTTGGATGACAGAGGGTGGATAGTTATATCAGACCAGCAGAAGGTTTTCATGGAGAAGCACAAAACTGATCGAGTTCGAAAGTTGTTTTGGAAGCCTGTATATGCGTGCAACGAAGTGGAGTGGAAGAAGGCAACTTCTGAAATGCAGTCCATTGAAGGTACGGGTGATGCTACTAACCCATATACGGATTTCATGGCGGCTGAACCAACTAGATTCTGTCGTGCATTCTTGTCAACCGTTCTGAAATGTGACTCTGTTGAGAGCAATATATGCGAGACGTTGAACGGAAGCATTGTCAAGTATAGGGGGTTTCAGATCGTAGATATGTTGGAGGGCATTAGGGGATATATGATGGATAGATTATTGATCAAGTATAGGATGTTGGGCGAGAACGCTGATGTATTGTGTCCAAGAATCAGGAAACGTGTGGAGAAAGAGAAGGAATTTGCCAGGTTATGTGTTGCCAGACAGACCATGTTTTCTAAGTATGAAGTCAAAATGGGAGCTGATGGGTACATTGTTGATCTTCTGGGATGCACTTGCACTTGTGGTTATTGGGCGCTAAGTGGTTTACCTTGCTGCCATGCCATTTCTGCCATCACACATTGTAGGCTAGAAGTGGAGGATTACATCCACTCCTTTTAACACAGCAGTACGGTAGCCATAGCATAAAAGCATGGAATACCTTGTTTGGACAGCCGACAAGTGTGGTCTAAGGCTTCAAGCTATCCTGTTCACCCTCATAAGAGCAGATCCATGCCCGACCGACCAAAGAAGAACAGAAAGAAGGCAACAATTGAGTTTGAAACAAGAGCCAGAGGAAATGGACAAGAATTGACTAAGAAAGGTACCATAATCCATTGCGGCATATGTGGTGGGGAGGGCCACAATGCAAGGTCGTGCAAAGAACCCGTTGCTGCCCAATCAGTGGCGAGAGAGCCCGTTGCTGCCCGACAAGTGGTGAGAAAGCCTGTTGCTGCACAACCAGTGGTGAGTTTGAGATTGCATTGTCTAATTCTTAACGACCATGTTTGCTTCTATTCATTTACTCAACTGTTTCTTGCAGATCAATACAAGAGCCAGAGGAAAACGAGCTGCACCACAAGATGCTGGCAATGCTCAAGGGCAGAAGAGATGATCTCATTGTTCAAAATGTGGCTCACCTACCCACAATGCGAGACTTTTACTCTGAATAGAGCAAATGGGATACAGGTAATTGAACTTAATCTTATGGATGTCGATTTTTGCCCAATATATTGAACCAACTAGATTAATGCCTGTAGGATGTGAGACTGAATGTTGCTGATAGAAGGACAATAGAAAGGGAGTTGCGTGTTGCAACAACTGGGGTGGGTGTTTACGTGGATGAGAGAACCGGCAACCAGTATGTACGGGTTAGTATGAGATCTCTACTTTTAACCACTTCTAGTATTCCTTTTCAACGTCCGACAATTTAATTGCCTTCGACCTGTCTATTTCAGCTTAATGGAGCACGTGGTAGAGCTTTTGATTTGGGTCCATCTCAACAACCTAGAGCTGTCGAAGCAAATGTGGTGGAGCTGGGAGGAAGTCAGCCCCCACCATCTCAGCCTTAGACGACAATGTTATTACATGAGCCATATTTTTTGTGTAATGGTATTTGGGGTGTATTTTGGATGGCTCATGTAATGGTGTGAGAGAGTGGATTGTAACCCCCTCCACTTCTCGGTTATTTAGGTGTAATCAGGACCCCCTCTTAATTCGGTTATTTAGGTGTAATCAGGAACATCCTGAAGACATGGTTTTCACTTGGTAGTATGCTTCTGACAACTCAAGTTTGCATTTGTTATTTCTTTAGGTGTAATCAAGAACATGCTCTTTAGGTTCAATGTTAGGTCCAAGGAGCTTTTGGTTCTGTCAAAATTAGGTGTAATCAGGAACATGTACCACTTGATCAATGTTGGTTTCAAGGAATGCTAAATTATGATACCATTGATCTTGCATTCAAAGTCTTCCATTCCTTTAAGGCGAGTGTTACAATTCACAACCTGAAAGGTCTTACTACTACTCCATACTACCGATGACTACAAGCACCATTACATTCACTATGAATAAAATGGTCAACATATATCGATTCAGCTTAACATCATATTTGATACTCCTAGTCTCAACTAACATAGCATCGTGAACCAACATTACATTGATCAGTTCTTTTTCCTTCAACCACCAGTTGTTTTTCCCACTGTTATTAAAACCGGGCCGGACTGGACGGTCTGACCGCGAAAACCCGGATCCGCCCAACTTTCCGGTTTCGATTGGCTAAAGACGTAAAGGAAATTGTCGGTCGGGTATAGACCAGTTCAACCAACTAACCGGTAAACCCGGATGAAACGTATCGGCGGTTGATGACCTTCTATTTTCCCCCCTTTTAAAGACCTTCCGTTTCTTATTCTTTCTATTTAATATTTATTTGAAATTTTTTTTTCTAAATCGAAACATTAAAAAGGGAAAGAGAATATATGTTTCCTCCTTTTTACAAATTTTCCACTTTTTTGTTTTCTCCTGCAACCACCCACTATTCATTTTCCATTTTTAACTTCTCTTTTCTTTCTTTCCCTAACTACGTTCACTTTTCTTCTCATTAATTCCTTCCCTTCTTCTTCTTATTTTCAATTCCTCCATTCAATTTTCCAATTTAAGACACAACCGGTCAAAAAAACTACAAAAAAGGTATAAACTCTATCTTCCTAATCAATTTGTTCAATGATTATACAGTAGTCTTATTCATTTATGAGTGATATAATTATATTTTTTAATACTGAATTTTTCAATTGATGTATATAAAATATATAATTCTCAATTTAAATACTAGTATTAATTTTCATATGTATCATGAAGTCATTTTTATTTTATTTTGTAAAACTTCAATGCCACCGGTTTTATGATCGGTTTATACTGGTTAATTACCGGTTATTCGATAAACCTTAAACCTCTCACTAATCAGGAGCATTGCCTGGTCCGGCTTTAAAAACACTGGTTTTTCCTACTTCCTCCTCTCGGCCTTGCTCTGTGCACGCTTTATACTCTCTTCCAGCTTGAGAATTGTAGCCTCCACTTCAGTGTCCTGTCCCTTAAAATCATCACCATTAGTTCCAACCCACCTAAAATAATCGCAATTCTTCTTCGGATCTTGCATTGTCAAACTCATCTGTAATCATCATACATATGATTCGAACCAAACGAATGATCCAAATATGCTTATGTTACATTCCAATAAGGAAAGTCGTAGAATTTTCGTCCTGGATTCAGATCAATTTCGGAGATTTGAACGGCACAAGGTTTTTTATGCAAGCACTAGACGAGCCTTGAATTGTTTACGCTTGTTGAACCCGAATCACCCACATTAACCGATTTGCCAATCCCAATCCTCTGTGACATGATTGAAATTGTCGTCGAAAGGGAGGGTGTCGACGGGGAGGGAAACGTCTGGGTAGAGAAGTTGGGGGAGTGAGACACCCTAACCCGGCCGGGTACTACTTTTACAAAAATGCCATTGACAAATAAAATACTCAAATCTTAAATTTCAGCGGGAAAATTTTCTTAAATAAAATACTGAAAACACACTCTTGTAGCTCAGAGCAAAGCCCTAACACGTGGGCAAATTGAACTCACACTTTAAAATCTCAATCTGATCTCCAGTCTATGCTCATAATCATAAATGTAAATAACTAATAATCTCTAATGTTGTTGCTACTGAAAACCTTGACTAAGCATCCTCCGTGACGCTTATACTGTCCTCCTCTAGCTGGCTGCCATCCAGCTCGCTGCTTACTAACTGCTCCTCTAGCTCCTCCTCTAGCTCTTCAAACTGGTGAGTGAGATGGGGTCAGTCTATGCCCTTACGTTTTCATACTTCTAACACTTGAGTACTTTACTTAAAGACTTAACTTTAACTTGTGGAAGTTATTTGTACCTCCAAACTTAAAATCTCAACTCTTAGACTTTGAGGGAGTTGGAGTTACTCTCCTCTCTTAAAACTCAAATCTTGACTTAAATACTTGACTGACACGGGGATCCATCACTAGCTAGTCCGGTTGCCAACTCATACGTATGAGAAGCCATCTAGGCTTTCCTTAAACTTAAACTTAGTTAGGGAAATCGTAACGATTCATCCCCCTAACATCTTAAACTTATCGTGGTGGCTCTTCACCACGATTCTCAAGGGCATAACTGCTTCCCATCTTAAAAGTCTCAAGAGCATAACTGCTGCTCCGTCTTAAAGATCTCAAGAGCATAACTGTTGCTCTATCTGAAAATCTCAAATGGCAACGGATTGGCGCTAGTGACTCAAAACACTTAAAACGACTTCACCTTCTTGAAGGTGAGTTACTTCTAAAAAAGAACTTGTTTCTTAAACTTTAATAGTAATTTATACTCGTAAAATTCCAAAGTAATTAATAAACATTCACTTCAAGCATAGCTCAAACAAAATCACATCAAATAGCACAAAAACACATCGATCATAGCTCAAGCAAGGCACAAATAATCATCATAAACTTAATCAAGCAACGGTAACCAATTCACTAAAATACTTAAAATCATAATACTTAAAAGAATACGTAAGGCGTAGAATTTACCCCCTTTACACTCACCTCATTAGGTCAAACTAGGCGACTTGAATTTGCTAGAGTTCAATCGTAGCCGATGCCGCTTCCTCTCATTTCCATCCAATGAATCATGCTTCCGCAACCACACTTGTCCGTACATTATATAATTAGCTGCCTACTTCTTTAGTGCCCAAATGTCCATGGCTCATCAAATCCAACACAAACCAAACTCCCCACGTGAAGCACTAAGCAAGATATATATTCCTGTAATGGTGAAACATACTGCCCCATAACAAGAAAATAACCACACGCCTCTGACCTTATCCAATTCTACTCATATTTCATGGCCACTCTGCATCCAATCTCTCAACTAGCTCCATTAATTCGGCCACAACAATGGGCGGAATTGGGATGGTGGATGAGTCAGCTTCCATTCTCCGGAACATAATGACCAGCATCTGTATCAAGGAAGCTTTAGCCGTAGTTTGATTTACCACGTTCTTGCTCCCCAAATAAATGTCGTAACCAGTCCTCACCATCTGCCGCAAGAAATCTTCGTGTATCCTCAAGGAAATGAATGTCACCGGGGACAGAAGCGCTTTCAGAACCAAAAGCTCAATTGCACCGCCACCGAGAGAGACAGTTTGGGGCTGCACGGAGAGAGGGTTTTGGGTGGCGATGGCGATCAGCTGGGGTTTTGTTTTTTTTTTTTCCTGGTTTTGCGGTCTACTCCTGCTGCTCTCTTGCGCAAATGAGTAATCAGGGGAGGGTAGAGGCAAATGTCATTTTAGGTTTAGGTTTTATATATATATATATATATATATATATATATATATATATATATATATATATATATATATATATATTAATTAGTAATAATAATATAATAAATTATTATTACTAATTCACGGTTGCAACCCTCCGTACGTAACCGTTAACCCAATCGTTCCCGTATTTTGGTCGAACCTGAACCCAAAGTCGGGGTGTTACATTTCCTCCACCCATATGAAAATTTCGTCCCCGAAATTTGCGTGAATCTCATCCCTCTGTCAACACCATTCTTGTACTTCCTTGCCTAAAAAATTTACACTCGCTATATGAACCATGATGATGTCCGCTGCTTGTCGCGTATAGTTTACCTCACCTCAAGTTATCTCCTCTTGACCATAAAAGGTATTCTCAACAAGCTCATTAGCATTGAGTAGCTTCGAGTGGCTACTTGTCCCTTTTTAATTCCCCCATCTGGGGATGGACCAAAATTATTGATTCCCTTTATTGGTCCAGCTCATTCAGCACTCGCTGTTGGCCCTTAAATCGGAGTCGAAGTATCACATTTCCTCCCCACTTATAGAAATTTCACCCTCGAAATTTGTCCACTGTGATTAACCTCAGCATCGCTTGTGGTAATCCTTTCCACTTGGAGGATTTGTATTTCCTTTAACTTATATGACTCGAACTAAAATCCTTCTCTCCATTCACTGCAACTTCAATGTGGTTGTGGCTTCTTAACCCCTCACATTACCTAGGTTGCACCTTGTACATATATCGGAACGATAACCATCCATTATTTGGTATACGAGACGTTAATGCTCCTCTTGAGCCCCAGGGTTACATATGGCGGCTTATCCTCTATCCCATCAAATGGTAACATTCCTTTAACGTAACTCTCGTACGGAGTTGACCTCATAGGTCACCTAGGTCCTTGTATCTCCTAACTCTGCATCTCTTACTTTCTTCCTCAATGCCTCATCTTATCCCTTAACCATAAACTGAATGGTCACCGCCTCGTTACTTGCTGCTTAGTGTTGGAACCTCATACTGCTGTTTCTACTTCCTGTATGCATTAGAGGCATCCTTTGCGTCTTTCTCTAGCTTGCGATCAACTTTATGAATCCTTTGCAGAATTATGACCTTCCATTTTGCGTACTTGCTCACTCCTGGCACCTAACTTAACACTTCCTTATCATCGTTTGACTTGGGAGTTCTCGTACTATCCCTTCTATCGTTCT